TTTCCCGTTCTCCCCTGTTCCCTCCCGCCTCCACTTGCCCCCCCTCCCCACGCCCCTCTCCCCCCGCTAGGCGGGGCCGCGTGGTGCCGCAGCCCGGTGACGGCTCCTGCCTGTTCCACTCCCTCCGCTACGGCTTGCACGCCCTCCCGCCCGCCCTGCGCCGCTGCGCCTCCGTGCCCTCGGCGCCGGCGCTGCGGCAGCAGCTCGCGCGGTGGGTGGCCTCCAACGCGCAGCTGCGCATCGCCGACACGCCCGTGTCGATGTGGGTCAAGTGGGACAGCGGGCTGTCGGCGCAGGCGTACGCCAGCCGGATGGCGCGCAGCGGGTGGGGCGGAGGCGTCGAGATGGCCGCTTGCTCGCACCTGATGGGCGTGTCTGTGTGGGCGCGCGGCGCCTCTCCGAGACACTTCCGAGACACTTCCGAGACACTTCCACTTCCGAGACACTTCCGAGACACTTCCGAGACACTTCCGAGACACTTCCGAGACACTTCCGAGACACTTCCGAGACACTTCCGAGACGCCTCCGAGACGCCTCCGAGACACTTCCGAGACACTTCCGAGACGCCTCCGAGACGCCTCCGAGACGCCTCCGAGACGCCTCCCGGTCTCCCTCCCGCCGGCGCGCGATGCTGCTGCCGCTCGCCACAGACTCCGCTCGCGCGCCACGCCCGCGGCGCACGTCCGCGACGCGCCCGCGCCTCGCCCGCAGGTGTACGAGCGTCGTCGCTCCGGCTACGAGCGCATCTCCTGCTTCGACGCGCCGAGGGCGCCGGGCGGCGGCAAGCGCGGCACGCTGCACATCCTCTACCGCGGCGGCGTGCACTACGACGCCTTCCTGCCCGACAACGCCGAGCTGCACGCCGCCCTCGCCGCCGCCGACGCGCGCTCGCCGCCAAAGGCCTCCGGGCCGCTCGGCTCGCCGGCGAGCAGCAGGCTGCCCGCCTCGCCAGCCGGCGCGGCGGCGGCCAAGCCGCAGCGGTGGCAGGGGTCGCCACAGCAGTGGGGGCAGCAGCGGCACGGGCAGGGGCGCGGGCAGGGGTCGCCGCAGCGGCAGCCGTGGGGGGGAGGGAGGGGTAAGGGAAGCGGTGGGCGGAAGCGGAGTCGAGGCAACCGCCGGAGGTGACAGTCGTGAGTCTATGAATCCGCGCGATCATTTAGGTGCTCAGAAGTGTCATGTTGATGACTTGATGTTCTCAAAACTCCAGCACATGGATAGTGGAATTGTGTACCGTTTCGTCCTCACAAAACATACGGAATGACATACCGTAATTCCGTGGTGTGTGGTGGTTCAGGAATCCTCTCCGCGAGGAGATGAGACATGAGTCGATGTCTCTCCGACTTGGCACTTGCGCTCCGTCCTCCGACCCGCGCGGCGTCTCTGGCCTCTGCCACTCTCCGACTCCGCGTGTCCGCGAGAGAAAAAAGAGCGTGGCGCGACGCCCCGCCGGCACACACCCCTCCCCCCGACCCGCCCGCCTGCGCCCCGCACCCAGCTAGTGGCCGAAGCGATTCTGCGGCTCTCCGCCTCCCCTCCCTGCCCGCGCGCCTCCCCCTCTTTCGCCGCCGCTGACTCCCCCAGCCAGCCGCCGCTACCGCCTCCGGCGAGGGGAGACCAACTCCGCCTCAAACGCCGCCCTCAGCTCCTCCTCGAGCGCCTCCACCTCGGCGGACGGCGCGCCGCCGACGGCGGCGGCGGCGGCGTGCGCCTCCGCCGCCCGCGCCTCGGAGCGCCGCACATAGGTGAGCATGTACGCCGACGGCGACGGACCCCCGAGCCCAAAGAGGCCGCCTCCGCGCGGCGCGTGATCGCCGCCGTACTGCTCCCGCACCGCGGCCGACTCGGCCACGCGCTCCACGCGCGTGTCGTCGAAGCGGTACCAGCCTCCGCCGCCGCCGAGCGGGCGGACGAAGCTGATGTAGTGGCCCGAGCCGAACCCGCCGGCGTGCGAGAGGACGGCGCGCAGCTCGTAGACCGGAGGCGGCCCTCCGCCGCCGCGTGCGCCCTTGGCCATGTACCGGCGCAGCCGCAGCGTGGTGGGGAAGGAGAAGGAGCCCTGCAGCTTCTGCATCGCGCCTATTGCCGGCCCAAAGCACGCCTCGCGCCCGGCTCCGCGGGGAGCCGCCCGTCCAGCGTGTGCGTCGCGCCCGTCGCCGCGTCGTACTCGAAGCGCTTGAGGTGAAGCACCTTGAAGGAGGCCGTCCTCCCCTTATTGCTGCACCGAGGAGGCTGCGGCATCCGCTCCCGGTGATGCGCCAGCACGGCAGGCAGCGAGCGGAAGGCGCAGCCGCGCCGCACCGTCCCCGCGGGCTGCCGGCCGAAGCGCTCGTCGCGCGTGTTGTACTCGCCCTGCAGCGTCTCCTCCGCCACGTACCTACTCGCACCGCGGTGGCCGCCTCGGTGGGGCTGCCGGGGCTTGCGGCCATAGCCGAGAGGGAGGGAGAGTCAGAGAGAGAGAGTGAGTCAGAGAGTCAGAGAGAGAGAGGAGAGAGAGAGTCAGAGAGGGAGAGGGAGAGGGAGAGGGAGAGGGAGAGGGAGAGGGAGAGGGAGAGGGAGGGGGAGGGGGAGGGGGAGGGGGAGAGAGGGGTAGGGGTAGGGGTAGGGGTAGGGGGAGGGAGAGGAGCGCACTGTCGGAGCGAGGCGTGCAGCGAGGCGCAACCCGCCACCTGCAGCTGCAGGTCGCAGAAACGGCCCTCCCGCTCCGATGTGAAGGGCACCTTGGTGCACCGCACGTAGCTCTGCGTCCTCCCCTCAAAGACCTGCGGGACGCGCCAGGGACGCGTCACGAGGAGCAAGTGTCTGGGAAGGGTGTAGGAAGCGCAGGAAGGGTCTGTCAACTCTGGAGCTCACGGGCGCACACCCGCGCGAACGGCGTCGGCGGCGGAGCCGGCACGCCTGCAAGGTGGACACAGAGGGGCCAGGCCGTAAAGGACTGAGCCATGGAGCTCCACCCCAAGTTTCCAACAAGAGACAGTGCCACCGTGATTCTGTGGCATCTCGCTTGCAGCGCCCCGCCCGCGCGGCTGTCCCTCCGTTGCGAGCTCGCCCGAGGCGACGAGCGCGGCGTGGAGGGTGTGCCAGAACTCCTGCGCGTCCTGCTGCTCGAGCACGTCGCGCGGGCCCATGCCGAGCGACGTCGTCAGCCGCTCCGTGCCGACGGCGTCCATGCCGAGCGCGGGTGCACGGCCGAGGCGGTAGAGCAGGCGCTTCATCTCTAGCGCGACCGCTGGCGGAGAGGCGGGCGCAGCCGCCGGGCTGGAGCACGGGGCGGCGGCGGCCTCGCCACGATCTGCCGCGTCAGTGGCTTCCGGTGGCGGCGGCGGCGGCGGCGGCGGCGGCACGGGTGGGAGCTCATAGACCGCACGAGCAAACTCTGGAATGTGGCAGAGGGACTGTAGCAGCGAGTTCATGTAGCACGTGTTCCCCTGGTTGCGCAAGCCCGCGTACGGCGCGGAAGCGGCGGAGGCAACGGTCAGCAAGAGCGCCATTGCTTCACTTGCAGAAATGCGGAGCGGTTTCTTTTTTCGGAGCCTCCCTTCTTTTTCCCTTTGGGAAGCAACGCGCGAAAAAAAAGAACATCCGACGCGAAAACGCCCCGCTCCCCGCGACGGCTAGCGCATCACACTCCTCTCCTTAAAATCCCTGTGTGGTGGCGGCGTGCCGTTCTCCCATCCCTCCCTTGGGTTGTGCATTTTCTTTCTTTCTTTCTTTTCCCCGCTCCAGCAGCTTGGGCAGCGGCACGACAACGGCGTGGACTGGGGCCGACACAAGCACACACATCGGCACACCTAGGGAAGAATGCAGCCGCTCCATCCGCCGCTCGCGCTTCGCCGCATTGAGCAGGCGGCTTCAGCAGGCCGTCGACGCAGTCGGTCGCGGCAGACGGCTGGCCAGATGCCTCCGGCGCCTGTTGTGGCCACAGAGTGTGCGAATGCGTACGTGTGCCCGCTGGACGCGGCGAAGCTGGTCGCGCTGCGCCACATAGTGGAGGGCCTGCGGCAGGAGAGCGGCGGACAGAAAAGTGCGCTGGTGTTCAAGCCGAGGCGGTGGCGCTTCCATGCAGAGAGGCCGACGTGGAAGAGTGATATCCGGTGGATCAGCGCCGCCGACGAGCAAACCTTTCGCGGCCTCTTCGAGCCGCTCTTCGCCAAGCTCGGCATCGCGTCGCTCTTCTCATTCCTGGGCGACATGGCTCTCTTCTCCGGCTTCTTTGTGACTCGAGGCCACACGCGCAAGACGCACTTCCACACGGACTTTGGCGACACGGGCAGCCGTTGCTTCACTCTGATGACGCCGCTGTATGACATGGCCGACCTCCGCGACTGCCACCTGCTCTGCCAGGTGCCGACGGACGGCGAGGCAGCCGCTTGCGCGCCCGCCGCCGATGCGCCCGCTGCCGACGTGCCCGCCGCATGCCCACTCGCCGATGCGCCCGTTGCGTGCACGGTCGCCGCTGCGGCGGTCGCCGCCGCCGCCTCCGTCGGCGCGAGGGACGTGATCCGTCAGTATCGCTACGAGCTCGGCACGGCCATCGCGTTCGGCGACGGCTTCGTCCACGGCACGGAGACGGGCGAGGCGCCGTCGCAGCTGGCCTTCCTCTGCTTCACCTTTGGCGACCGCCGCTGCACGCCCGAGCAGTGGAGCGCCGCCGAGGGGTACATCAAGGAGCAGGGGCCGGTCTACCAGGACCCGACAGGGCGGTTGGTGGTGAAGGGTGTAGCGTGATTGTTCAGCGTCGAATTCCTTTTTGGTAAAACTTTTTCTTAGTACCTGTGTTCGTGCGAGTGCGCGCAAGTCCCGTGCGCTAAAAAGGAAGAAAGAAAACAGATAACCAAAGCCCTGCGGATTTTCTTTTTGCGCGCATCTCAGTCGTTCTTCACACGGCAATCGCAGAGCAGATTGTGAATGAGCTTGCCTGTGGCGGGGGTGGGCGGGTGCACGGAGCTAAGTGCCTCGCCACCCTCGCAGGAGTCGCTTAGGCGGCTCCCGTGGTGTACCTGTGTTAGTGCCAGTGCGAGCCAGTCCCGTGCCCAGTCCTGTGCCCAGTGTCGTGCGAGTTAGTTGTTGTAAAATTCTTTTTGCGTTCATTCGCGCCGCCGTGATGAGCGGGGTGCGTTGTTGCCGTCAGAGGAGCCATCACCGCTGGCGACACACCCCGTTAAACCCGTCGCTATCCTGTGCCGCAGGAGGGCTCCTCGAACAAGCGCGCCCGCGACGGCGACGCTGCCAAGTCGATCGAGAGCAAAGCGGCGTCGTGGGCGGAGGAATTCGGAGGACTGGAGGAGGACGACCAGTACGCATACCTCCAGGCCCTTGCGGTCAAGATGAAGTGAGAAGCCCCGCAGCGCGTAGCTCTCGCGCGGCGCTCGACTGACCCTGCCCGCGCTGCCGCCGCGCAGCGGTATGCACCTGCAGTTCCTGCGCGGCATGCCCAACCTCGCCGAGGAGGACGACGATCTGGAGGAGGAGTACGACGATGAGGACGATGAGGAAAGCGAGGACGATGGCGAGGAGGCGGCGGGCGACGACGACGAGTGAGGCGTGAGTGAGGCGCGAGAGCGGCCGTCCGTCTCCGCAGCACCCGGCGCGGCGCGAGACGCGCGGCTGCTGCTCCATACCCGGCACGTACCCTGTGTCGCGAGATAGCTCTCGGATGGTCAGGCCGAAGGGGCGCGGCGATTCCGCCCGTCTTGCGGCGGGGCTGGCAGCACACCGCAGTGACACACCCACAGTCCCACACCCAGGGCCACACCGCTGTGACACGTTTTATTTTGCCTCTTCTGTTAACCTTTGTATGAGCGTCTTCGGGGAGGTGGGCCGGCGCCGCGCGCGCACGCACCGTTTCCTCCGGGATAGCATAGGTTGTGGCCAGAGCAGTTATATAAAGACTAAGAGTGAAACTGCGCTCGGGGAGAGGAGAACGGGGAACGGCCGCGGCGGGCGGACGAAAACATCCCCCATCCAGTGAAGTGTGATCTGCTACTCGCCCCCAAGTACTCGCTCTCTTTTATGTCCCACCATGCAGAGCGCATCTCTCTCTCTGTTGTGCGAGGCGTGAACCGCGCCATTCGCGCTCTCACCTCTGGCAACCCTGTCTGCACGTCTCGCGCGCGCGTGAACAGGGCGATCACGAGTTAACAGGGGCTCCAGGCCCCAAATGACGTGTGAGTGTTAGAGTTGTTTGGTATTGCTAAAAATCTCTCTCTCTGCTCCGCCTCCGGCTCCCCGGAGCCCGGTCACACGGATCAGACTGTCATCAGACGGATCACGCGAATCGTAAACTTTTATCAGATGGCCAAGAGAGAAAGCAGTCACCAGTGCGCACTCAGACCCACACACACCAAATAAATTATCACCCAAAATAAATCACAGATTTTGTTGATGTCTCTCCCCTCCTTCCTCCTCGTCCAGCACCGATCGTCGGACCTCACCCCCCCCCCCCCCCCCCCGGCCCCCCCTGTGTCGCGGCAGCAAACGTAGCAGATCAGTTGAGGTCGAAGATAGTCGATCGGATCGAGGCGGCTCACATATCAAGCGAACCTACGACATCACATCAAACAGTCCGACCTCCTCAAAAGACTCGGAGTCGGAGTCCATCTCGGGCTCGGTGCACGGCTCGGAGTCCTTGCCATCGCGCTTGCCGTCCGTTGGCGTGGCCTTCATCGTGCCAAAGACGAAAGCGGTGCCGCCGAGGAGGAGAGCGAGCACGACCAGAAGCTGGTACGCGGCGCCCAGAAAGGTAGAGCCGCGGTCGGGCTGCTTGGCGGGGTTGGCGGCGGCGTCGACCAGCGCAACCAGCGCGCTCGTAGCCGCCTCCATCTCCTTGAGGCACGGGGGCGTCGAAGCCGCCACAGCCGTCGGGCCGCCAAGCGCATCCGAGTCGTTGCAGCTCACAAAGTCTTCGACGGCGCGGCTCTGTCCAGACGCAATCGCGAGGAGCGACTTCTCCACCGGCGGTGCCGCGGCAGTGGCGAGCCAGCCCGGCGCCACAAACGTCACGACGATGAGGGAGGCGACGACGATGCCAATGAGGCAGGTGCACGCCTTGCGCTGGGAGGCTAGCCCTGACGCGCGGGCCTGATGGATTGCGAGCTGCTCGGTGCGCGACTTGAGCCGCGCCTCGAGGTCTCGCTTCTCGACGCGGGCCTGCGCGATGACATGCTCGAGGGCTCGCTTCTCAAGGCGCAGGGCCGACTGCCCGCGCACGGCCGCCTCGAGCTTCTCCGCGCACGTGCTGGCCTTGGCAAGCTGGTCGGCGAGGCCGTCGGCCCGAGCGGCGGTTGATTCGAGCTCAGCCTTGCGCGCATCGGCTTCTGCAGTCGCGTCGGCGAGGGAGCTCTGTAGCTGGGCAATCTTGCGGTGGATTGGCGGCAGCGTCGTCGAATCAGCCATGCGCGCGGCGTGGCTCGCCTCGCGCTCAAGGCTCTCGCAGCGGTGCTTGGCCATCGACAGGATGCGGTGGAGGACGACGGCGAGGTTGCGGTCGATCTCAAACGACTTGGAGGTGAGGTCGAGGTAGTTTATGCACGGGTAGACGTTGCCGAAGGGAATGCCGAGGAAGTCGGCCGCAGCCTTGAGCGCGGCGTCCTTGGTGCTGTTGGACGAGGACGGGTTTTTGCGCACCGCGTCGTCTGCCTCGTCGAGCTTTGCGACCAGCACGATCGGGTTGATGCCGAGCCGCACAATCTTGCCGAACTGGTCGCGAATCTTCTGCATGAACTCGCCGTCCGTGTCGTCGAGCTCAGAGAAGGGAAGCATGAAGACGACGGCGTGTGGCGTGCGGCCAAAGCGCTTCGCCTCGACAGTCAGGTCCTGCGACTCCGAGAGCATTGCCGGGTCGATGTGGCAGTCCATGTCCCAACCGTGGGGCAGCTTCCCCTTCATGATCGCCTCGAGCTCGGGACCCTTGTAGTTCTCAGGCGTCAGGCCCTTGGTGTCCCACACACGCAGCGGCAGCTCGTTGGGGAAGTCGATCGCGCGGAGCGTGACCGTGCAGTGATCGCCCCCGCCGTGGACTGGCTCTGCGCAGGGCAGCGCCTCGCCCGAGTTGGCGTGAGACATGAGCGCAAGGATCGAGTTGGTGAAGGAGGTCTTGCCCGAGCCCATGACGCCAAAGACTAGCACGTTGAGCTTCTCCAGACCGAACGGGGCGGGGTTGAACAGGCCCTTGAGCGCTGAGGGGACGTACCAAGCGTGGTCCACATTCATTGTCTCCTTGGCGAGGGTGTCTCCGCGGGCGCCCGTCTGGAGCTTGAAGGAGAAGCGGCGAGGGATGTCGGTGATGGCCATATGCCATTGCGAACGGAGCGTCACCTCGACGATGAGAGAAGCGCCCGGCTTGATAGTGGGCACCGGCGTGTACACGTCCTCGTTGTATGCTCCGCCAGAGTACGTGATGCGCGCGCCCTCGATCGCGAGACCGTCTTGCATGCTCAGCTTGATCGGCACCTTGATCGAGCCGATGCGCTCCGTCGGGTGCGCGGAGTAGACAGTCATCAAGACCTTGCCCATGGCGTCGACGTTGCACTGTACGGTACGGGGGTTGGCTCCCGCGAGTCTATCGTGCGTCCCGCAAGTGGACGTGGCCAGTGAGCTCCGCAACACCCCGTGCCGTCTTCCGGCCCGGAGAGGCGCGTACGCGCAGGCTGGCGATGAGCCCAGAGATCGCCGCCGCGGAAATGACAAACTGTGAATCGCCGCCGCAGACACGATCAACCGACGCTCGGGACCCCTTACCAGAGGCAGTGCCCTCGCCACCCGAATGCTTGGTCAAGGGGTGGTCGAGCTCCAATTGGGAGTCGGAGATGTTGCGCCGTGAGGCAATGCTTCACGAGAGAGAGGTGCACGTGGCCGAGGCAAAGGCGTCGCTCGAGGAGCGTGAGCGTCGGCTTGATGTGCTTACCCGCCAGTACGATGCTGCCGTGCTCTCCGTCTCGGTCGTCTACTGGATGCTCAGATACTTGATTGACTCGGTGCTCCCCTCTCGCCTAGCGAGCCTAGCGATGCGTGAGATCGAGCTCGACACGAGGGAGGCGGAGGTGGTCAAGCATGCGAAGGAGGTTCAGAGCGAGTCCGAGCGCAACGAGGCGATGCGGCAAGAGCTGGAAAAGCTCGAACTGGAGGCCCAGCAGAAGGAGCTTAGACAGGCGGCGACCACCAACCCGCACACCGCCGCCTACCACGTGCAGAGCGGCACGACGGCTTCCAAATTCCAGGCTGTCATCGACGGCGTGGCGACCCGCTCTAAGATCCCAGCGGAGCGGTTCGTCTCTGCCGAGCCAGAACACACGTACCCGTTGGTCCTGCTCTTTGTCAAGCCCAGCGGCCCGCGCCTGGCCGACGGGGTCGTCAAGTACGACGAGGTGGAGCTGTGCCGCACGATGGTGGCGACAGGCGGCTCGCTGCTCATCTGCACCATGCGCGCAGGCAACGACCCGCAAGCTCCCAAGGACTTGCCTGCCGGATGCCCGCCCGTTGAGGGGCTGCTCGACTTCTGCTACATCTCAGGCAGTGCGCAGCAGCCGCACGTGCTGAACCCGTCTTCGAAGATGAACCATGGCTCCGCAACAGAGCTGGCCAAGGTTTTCAGGCGGTTGGTCCCGCCGCCCCCGCCGCCCCCGCGGCCCCAACCTCGGCACTATGGAAGCCGTTTTGCGTGGCTTTGACGTTTTGGCTTGCTGCTGGCGTCTACGGATGGCAGGCGCGGGTTGCTGCTGCTTCTAAGAGTTCCTTGGTGCTGTGTGCTGTGAGCTCAGCTCGTGACTAACGGCTTCATGCCCTCGTGAGGTGGGTAGCGTTACTGACTGACTGGAGAAGAGGGAGCGCGAGGCACAAATTATGCGACTGGAGGTGGTTGCGTATCGCGACACGTAAATTGTGCTCTGTACTCGTAGATTCAAATCCCCTGCATGCTGATGCTAAGTGGCGGGTGGGGGCTTCTGCTTCTGCTAAGAGGTTCCCTCGTGCGTGTGCGCTGATGTGTTATGTTGCTCTCCTCCTAGGGCCGCGGCCCTTGCCGCCCAGCCCTTGCCGCGCGGCCCACCACGCGCCGCACGCTGCTCAGCTCTCTTGTGTCGTGATGATGACGTGCACCGACCGAGCATACACGAACACACGTGCGCGCCCAAGCAAACGCGCTCGGTGCTATATATTGTTAGTAATACGATGTGCGACACCGACAGTACTCAATATCCTCAGGTTATCAGCACCGACATCGACAACGCTGCATGTGCGTACCTGCTCACAGGCAGAGTACGTGTGTGTGTGTGTGTGTAACTCTCCACATGCTCGCCATGCCAGAGGTCGCCAAGAGAGTGCATCCACGCATATCGACACATAGATCAGTCCCATCGGGCGAATGGCGCAGAGAGGGCAGTGCGGGCCCACGCCGCGGCGCTCCCATAGTCCACAGGCTGTCAATCCCCACCCGCTCCCATTCCTTCCCCCGTGGTCTGCCGGCGGCGGAATGGTCTCTCAAATAAGCTGGACTCCTCCCGCCACCGGCGCGCGCAGCCTGCGCGCGACGCCAAATCCGATGCCGCCGACGGCACCCATCGCCAGGCCGGCGCCCAGCAGCGTTGAGCTCGAGCCGCCAGAGTGTTCTGCGCTGCCGCTGCCGTCCGACAGCGACGAGGGCGCGCCGTGGAAGACATAGACCGCGCCGGGCGGGAACGGGGACGGCGCCGGCGGAAGCGGCGGAGGAGGAGGCGGAGGTGGTGGAGGGGGAGGGGGAGGGAACGGCGGGGAGGGCGGCGCCGCTGGCGGCGCCGGGGGAGGCGGCCACCCCTTGAACAAGTAGGCTAGAAGATTGAGCAGCCACCCGCCGTCCACGTCCACGTCCGCCGACGCGACGAGAGCGCCAGCCTCCCCCGACGCGATGGCGCGGCGGAGCGTAAAGGGGGCGGCGGCGACGGCGGCAGGGAGGACGGGGAGGAGCTCGAGCAGCTCCGCCGCGCGCGGCCGCCAGCCGAAGCTCACGGCGACGCCCTGCTCGCCTGACGTTGCGCCGAGCCGAAACGGCCACCAATCCGGCTCGAGCTTGACGTCGGCGGGCGGCGAGAAGGAGAAGCCCGCCTCACGTTGCGCGGCGTGCGCCTCGGCGCGCCAGTCGGCGCCCGTCGCGCGCGCGGTCAGCGTCCCCCCGCCAGCGACGGCCTCGGAGGCGCGGGCAAGCAGCTGGGAGAGGGGCCACTCCTTGCCGCCCGGGCCGGCCGCAGTCTCGATGGAGATGTTTGCGACGGTCGCCCACGCGGCCTGGGAGAGGGCCGAGACGGCGAGCAGGCCCGTGCTGCTGTGCGCGTAGCCGCCGGACGAGGAGAGGAGCCCGTCGAGCGAGCTCTGCACGCTGATCGCGGGCCGCTGCGCCAGCACGCCGCTCACCGCCCGCAGCAGCGCCTGCAGCGTGGGCGGCTGCTTGCCGCCGAGCAGCGCCGCGAGCGGGCCGAGCGAGCCGGCCGGCAGGAGCAGCGAGAGCGCGTCGGCCGTGGTGGGGAGCTGGGCGTCAAGCGGCGGTCCGACCGCCTTTGCGGCGCACTCGAGCGTGCTGCCGGCCGTCGCCTCGCGCTTCAGGCCTTTGGAGGCGCAGCGCAGCGCGGCGGCGGCGGCGGGTGTGGCGGCGGCAGCGGCGGACACGTCAGCGTAGAGCTTGTCGGCGAGGCCGTCGAGGGGGAAGCCGGCGAGGAACGCCTCGAGCAGCGGCGGCGCCCACGTCGACAGGCGGCCCTCGACCGCCGCCAGCGCGCACTCGGCCGTCTCGGTGGGCGTCGCCTGCGAGGACGGGTCGTGGACGTGTGACGGACGCGTCCTCCGAGCTCGGCCCTCGGCCAGCTCGGCTCTACCCTCCCGCAGCGAGCCCGACCAAGATCTCGGGCGCATCTCGGGCGCATCTCGGGCGCATCTCGCATCTCGCATCTCGGAGGAGTCCTCGCCTCGCCAGCGGCTAGCTTGGCGGCGCAGCCGTACGCGCGGCTGAGCGCGACGATCCCGGCGTCGAGCTCGGCCACTGCCTCGGCCGGCAGGGCCGCCTCCAGCAGGCCGGGCAGCGTGATGGCACTCGCCCACGACGCCCAGCCGGAGCCGGCGAGGTTGCGCATCGCGGGCATCAGCGCGCCGAGCAGGCCGCCTGCAAGGGGGGCAGGCAAGGGGGGGTGGGGAGGTGAGTGAGGAGGGGGCGGGGGCAGGTGGGAGAGGGAGGGCAGCGAGGCGACTTGGCGGGCGGGCGGGCGGGTGGGGGAAGGTGGGGTGTGGGTGGGGGAAGGGGGGTGGGGCAGCGCTCGCCTGAGGCGGCGAGGGCGCAGTCGAGCGACGCGGCAAAGGAGGCTGGCGCGTCGGGCGGCTGGTGGACGAGGCAAGCGAGCTCGTCCGACGGGCGGAGCAGCGCCTCGCGCGCCAGGGCGGCGGCGGGGGTGCCGCCCGAGAGGGAGTCGAGCGCGGCGCCGAGGTCGTCAAGCGGCCCGCGGGCGGCGCCGAGCGCGCACCGGCCGAGCGGCGCGAGGTGGGAGGCGATGGCGCGCAAGTTGTCGGCCCCGGCGCCGGCGCCCTCGCGCAGGGAGACGCCGGGCGTGCCGCCCCCCAAGCAGTCCGCGATGGCGATCGCCGCCAACGCCGCCGCGCCGTGCTCGGTCGCCTCTGCCGCGGCGGCGCGGCCAGAGGCGTACAGAGCGTGCGCGTCTCCGAGCATCAAGTCCGACAGAGCGATGTCCGCCTTTGGCTCTGCGGCGTCGAGCGGCGACCGCAGCGCCGCGGCGGCGCACCGGAGTGCGGTGGACGGCCTCTGCGACCCCCCCTTTGCGACGGCAGCAGCGGCGCACGCGGTGAGGGGCGCCGCCGCCTCGCCCGACACGGCGACTGCGGCGCTCCGCAGCGTGTCGAGCGCCGCCAAGGAGGAGAGAGCGGACGGGGCGGGGCCCGCCGCGGGCAGGCCCGTGAGCGAGCACAGGACCGCCGCCTCGCACGCGAGCAGCTCGACCTCCGAAGCGGGCCGCCACCAGAGCTGCAGCAGCGGCGAGCTAGCCTCGCCGCTGATGGCGCCGTCGCCCAGCGCGGCGACGCGCGCCTCCGACGGCTCGCACGCGCCGAGCTGCGCCGAAGCGCGCGAGACGCCCGCCCACCGCGCGCGCCACTCGCCGCTCACGTCGCGCGAAGCGACGCCGCCGACGGTGGAGGCGTGCGCGACGAGGGTGGAGCTCAGGCCCCCTCCGCCGGCCGAGGTGAGGGCGGCGGTGAGGTCGACGGCGAACCGTCCGCCCGATGCGGTCGCGCGGGCCGGGCCGCCGCCTGCCCACTCGGCGGGGCCAAAGGAGACGGAGGGTGAGAGGACGGCGTCGAGGCCGTAGTGCCCGCCGCGCCACAGGGCGGGGGAGAGCAGCGTGGCGGTCGAGAGGCGGTAGGTGAGGTGGCCGAGCTTGCGGGCCTAGGCAGCCGACGGGCGGCGGGTGAGGGTGGTGCTGAAGACTGCAGTGGCGCAATGAGCGGCCGGCAGGCGCCGTCTCGATGGCGGTGGAGAAGGGCAGCGACGAGAGCGCGACGCTCGCCATGTACCCCTCGTGCCGGGGCGGAGGCTGCTGAGGCGAGCCGGCGTCCGCTGTCTGGCGCAGAGCAGCCTTGCCCGCGAGGGCCGCCTCCGTGCCGCCGCCGCCGCCGCCCGGCGCGTCGGCGGGCGCGGCGCCGGCGGCGCGCGAGTCGTTGAGCGAGCAGCGGATGTCGACCGAGAAGAGGTTGGACGGGGCCGGGTTGGACGGGGCCGCTCCAACGCCGCTCGCGAGGGCGGAGGACGCGTTGATCCAGCCGAGGGAGAGGAGGGACGTGTCGAGGTAGGTTGAGTGCGCCGCCGCCGGAAGCGCCTCCGGAGTGAGCGGAGTCGGCCGGACCAGGCCGCCCTCCGCCGTCACGTCGGGAAGCGTCAGGCGGGAGGGGGCGTCGGCGAGGGCCGCCGTGGCGTTGGTGAGCACGGTGCCGAGCAAGTCGCCCACCTGAGTGTGCGAGTGCGGAGGGAAGTGCGGTGCGAGTGCCGTGCAGTGTGTTCGGGGCATCGCATGCGGCTACGAGCACAGCGGCTAATTTGCAACACAGCACAGTGGGGATGGATCCGAAAGTGTGTCGTCTCTCGAGTGTGGTGTGCAACGCTAGAGAACGGGGTCCATCTACTGTCGCCCACCACCGGACCGAGCAAGATGCCAAAGATGCCGTTGAGCCCGCCGAGGCCTACGCTGCGAGTACACGGGGGTCAGGGTGCGAGTGTACCATCGGCAGAGCATCCGGCCGTGAATGCGAGGGATGCTACTACACAAGACTGGGCGTGCGTATTCGATGGAACGGAAGAGTGCAGATGTGTGTCCAGCAGTTAGGTGGAGGGCCGTCAAAGGCGCCGCCGAGTCCAAACGCGACCTGCAGCGCCACGTGGCCCACGTCCGGCACGATCGACACCTCCCGCGCGCCCAGCTCGAGGCTGCCCGAGGCGCCTGCTCGGTTGCGCATGGCATGAGCATGGTGTATGCGCGTGGCATGCGAGCGAGTGGCGGGTGCGCTCACCGCGCCGCGCAGTGAGCGTCAGGCTGGCGGACGACCCGTTCTTGAGCGTCCCCTCCACGGGCCCGCACTGCCATATCGTGGCCCATCCCCACCCCGTGCCCCAGCAGTAGTCTGCCATAAACTGCGCCGAGAGGCCGTCGACTTGGATGGCGAGCACGTCGCCTTCGACTGCGACTGCCGGCGACAGGGATAGCGCATCCGTCTCGCAGTCGAAGAGACGCATGTGGTCGACGGTCACCTCGAGGCCCGGGAAGGAGCGGGCGATGCGTGGTACCGGCGCTGCGCACACGATGCTTCCGAGGACGGGAGCCAGGCTCCGCTCGAGCATCGCGACGCCCTCTTCGGTGAGCCAAACACGCAGACCTGCCGGCGACAGCGTGGCGGCGGGGTTGACGGCCGTGCTCGCCACGAGGATGGGCCACATTACGGCCGTGAAGAGCTTGCGCAAGGAGCCACGCCGAGGCTCCTCGCCCAGAGATGACAGGCGCCCGGCACGAGGAATTCTTTTTTGAATTTCCGCGGCCGCGCAAAAAGGCCTGCAACCACAGATCGCCTCCTTTCTTCGATTTAATGAATAAAAGAAAAATCAAGGAAAGAAAAATCCGTTCCCGCGGTCGCAGTCGAAGCTGACTTTGAGCACCTCTTCTTGCTCGCGAAAGCGTTCGACTCCACCATGATCGGCCGCACCGACTCAGCGGCCGAGAAGAAGAAGAGGGACGGCGTGAAGCGCGTGGTGGAGTGGCTGGAGGACTTGCTGCCCGAGGAGGAGAAGGACGAGGAATTTGGCGGGAAAGCGCCTGCGGGCCAGGAGACGAATGTCATCTGCAATCAGCTGGAATGCAAGGAGCCGGGCTGCCCGCCGGTGGAGCTGGTCATGACGCTGCTCCGCGCAAAGCCTAAGCAAAAGCTGATGTTCAAGATCTTCAAGGCGGCCTCGGAGGTCACGCGCGAGGAGGTGCGCTGCGTAGACCAAACGCAAGAGGGATCCCTGCTCCGCCCCAACCGCCGCGAGTGCCGTGTATACACAGGTGGACGCGGCGATGAAGCGCGCGATCGCGGAGGAGGCCGGGGAGGCGCACGACCACGGGCACGCCGACGGCAAGCACGCCGACGGCTGCTGCGGGCACGACCACGAGGAGAAGGCGGACCACGGGCACGCCGACGGCAAGCACGCCGACGGCTGCTGCGGGCACGACCACGACGAGAAGGAGAAGGCGGAGCACGGGCACCACGACCATGGCCACGCCGAGAAGAAGGCGGACCACGGGCACGCCGACGGCAAGCACGCCGACGGCTGCTGCGGGCACGACCACGACGAGAAGGAGAAGGCGCACGAGCACGGGCACGGAGCGGAGAAGGCGGACCACGGGCACAAGCACTCTGGCGGCTGCTGCGGGGGCGACGAGGAGTTGCCGGCACGCATGAAGGCGGCGCAGGATGCCAAGTCGCACGCACACGGGCACTCGGAGGAAAAGGCGCGCGCGCGGCACCCGCCCGCCTCCCCACCCGCCTCTCGCCATGCGCTCTCGCCTTGCTTTGCACAGGCCGACCACGGCGCGCACGGGGACGGCTGCTGCGGCCACGATCACGCCGAGAAGGGTGCGCACGAGCATGGGCACGCGGAGAAGAAGGACCACGGGCATTGAGGGCGGCGGCGACGCGGCTGCGTGCTCGGCGGCGCGGCCGGGCGCGCGAGATATAGCCACGGACCCGCGGGGAGAGTGTTGTACGTGTCTACAGCGCACAGCCAGCGCCTAGGGTCGAGATACAGCCTAGGGTCGAGGCGCGCGCATGAGGCTTGACGAGGGTGCGGGCCGAAGAAACACAGCAGACACGCACAAGATACTAAGCACAACCTCTCTCAACAGTCGATGATCGTGAACACTGTCAAACACCGAAAAAAAGGTCCAGAGTGCAGAGTCCAGAGAGCAGAGTGAACTGCAGAATCCAGAAAGTGGTCTATTGAATGTTTACTGTATTGTCATTTGAGCTCCTCTATCGGCTGCGGGCTCGCATTTTAAAATTTAATAGTATTATTAAACCTATTATCGTCTCAGAGTTTGCCCGTTTTATTTATTTATTTATTTATTTATTATTCTCAGTCCACCCACCTCCCCGCGCGGGGCCGCTCCGGGGCGACCCGGGCGCCCTCCGACCACAACACTGCTCTATGAGCACTTGAGCACTGGATAGGGCCGATTCCGCGTGGTACGGGACCCCTCGATCGTCTCGCCCTCCCTCACTGGTATGTTCATTGGGGGGGGGTCATAACAAACACGGTACAGGATCGAGGTGCACGCTGCCGAAGCAGTGTCGTCCCCCCTCTCCCCGACGGCGATGGCGGTGTGACCGATCGAGCTACAAGAGGAGCTTGCTCAGCAGGATCCGGGATAGTCTGACGCACTACCTCACTGGGCCTGAGATCATCGAGACAACACCCGTCACCGTCTCGGGTTTGCGTGGGATCGAACCACTCCGGGATGGGCAAGCCCATCAATTTTCACTGTGTTTCTCCCCTGCACCTGCAGGAGATGGCGAGAGAGGGACGAGGGGGGGGGGGGGGGAAATTGAGGGGGGGGGGGGGTCAGATAGTCAAACGCTGCTGTCATAGCAACTCGTAGACGTATTACACACACAAAGACTCATAGCAACTCATAGACGTATTACACACACGAAGACTCATTGCAACTCGCAGCCGTATTATACACCCAAAGATCGAGGCCCGCCCAGGTCACCCGTTCTCCCACACTCGGGCCACTTCAGATGCCGGCTCTGCTGAGATCCACCCGAAGGTGTCCTGCAGGAGTCCTGCCTCCCTGGCCGACGACTTTAACACGCCCGAGGGCGAGGTTCGGAGAGGGGCCGCCCCCCCCAGCCCCGCCGCTTTCCGGACCCCCTGCGCCGCGACTTTGTCCGTCGCCCTCCTTCGTCTCGCCCGCCTCGTCGGGCGCAGGGCCGCTCTCCGCCTCGCCCTCCTCGTCCAGGTCCATACTCGAGAAGCTGCCTTGCGAGTCGGGCTGCCCAGACAGGGTGTCCTGCGAGCTTGCCTCCCCTGCCCCGTCCACGTCCATGCTCGAGAAGCTCTCCTGCGAGTCAGGCTCTTCGATCAGGAAATCCTGCGAGCTCGCCTCCTCTTCGGGATCCCCGGCCTCCGGGCCTTGGGGCTCAGAGCTAGCCCCCTGCCCCGCCAGCACGCCCCCCCCCGCCTCCACCCCCCCCCTCGTCTGTGTCGGGATCCGAGTCGTCGCCTCGGTCCGCAGCGTGCCGAGCCCGGCTGGCCGGGTGGTCGTTGCCCTCACCAGCGCCAGCGGGGGGGCGATCCCCCCCCCCCGCTAGGTCCTCGCTGTCCGTTGCGCTCTGGAGCGCAACTCAACGTTGACGCCATGGCGACGCGTTCCAACACCTCTGACGTTGCCGAGCACGCACTGCAGGTGGACAAGGCCATGCAGGCCATTTCTAGGCAAAAGCAGGCGACCTACAGAGCCGAGAAGCAGGTCGAGGTGGAGATAGAGAAATTCGTCGACGAGAAGAAGGCCGACTACCAGCGCACCTTTCACGGCAGCTTGTCGGTGCCGGGCGCCGTCGGCCTCAGCGTGGGTGGCGCGCTCGGTGTTGCTGCGGACGCGTCCGCGTGGATCCTCGCCGCGGTCACTGACGCTGCGGCGGCGCACATTCTGCCCGACAGCGTGCCGCAAGCATTCGCGACAGGGATCAGCACTCTCGCGGGCCAGGTCGGCGGCGCGGACAACGCATCGCTCGTGGTGGCCGCTGCTGCCGGCCTCTCGGCCGCCGTCGCCGTCAAGACGTCGCTCTATGCAACACGGCGCGGGACCCGTCGCCGAGCTCGCGCCGAGCTCGCAGCTGCCAAGCAGCAGCTGGACGAGCAGGTGAGCAAGCGGCGGCGCTCGGAGCGCGAGGCGCTCGACGCCAGTCGTGTGACCAAGTGCGCCCGCCAAGTCCGAAACTTCTTGGCTGGTACGGACGACGACGTGGCAGGGGAGGCTGGCGAGAAGGGCGAGGAGGGCGAGGAGGGCGAGGAGGGCGAGGAGGCCTCGTCTGATTAGACCCAACGCAAGGCCCCTCTCATTTATTGCACGCAAAAAGTGGTCGGTGCAAGGTGCTGGTGTCGAGAGCTGTCTGTGTCGGGAGCGGGTCTGCGTTGGGGTTTAGAGGCCCGCGGGCCTGGCCCGCGGCGGCCGGAGGCTGTGTCGGTGCGCGTTTTACCGAGCCTGTGTCGTGCGTGTTGAACGTGCTCTCGGTCGGTCGCGATTGCCGCACGGATGTCATGCAAGCAGCTGCAGGCAATGAGCCTCCTTGTGTGATCGCGTCTACGTGAACGAGTGCAAGCAGCTCACACTGGATTTTCACCCTTTGCTGCCAGAGCTTCTGGATTTCATGTGTACCCTAGAGTAGAGGTCTCCGTTTTATTATTTATTCTGGATTTTCACCAGTGACCCCCGCCCCCACCGCGGAGATTGCAAGAGGGAGGTCATGACGCAAGGGCGAAGGGCGGTTTTGTGTCGTGCGTTTACCGTTTTGTGTCGTGTCGTACATAAGTAGAACGTCGGTTCTCGATCCTTTTTTCGTGCTGTGTGGATAAAGGGGAAGCGTGCCCGCGGCTCCGCATAACACGCCTCCGACTAAAGGAATTGACACACAACATCATTCTGATTTGCGCCTCGACGGAAGACTCGGACCCTCTCCCATGAATTTGTGGGTGAGCTCTTGTGTCCTGATTTGCCAACAACAGACCTGACACAAACGGATGTGGTCACTTGTCGCAGTCGCACACACACATTGCAATTCACAGAAAAAGAAGCGAAGGAAAGTAAAAACTTCGCGGCGCCGATCGGGACTGGGACGCTGCCGGCTACCTCCCGCCCGATGGCCGACCCATACGCCTACAAGCGCGACACCAAGTTGCAAGCGCGGCTGAGCGCCGAGGTGGAACGGCTTGCCAAGCTGCCGGCAAACAGCGTGTGTGCGGACTGCGATGAGCGCCGGCGCATCCGCTTTGTCTCCGTCACGCTCGGCGTCTTTCTGTGCAATCGCTGCTACGGCCTGCACCGCGCGCTCGGCGCTCACGTGACGCGCGGCAAGTGCCTCGGCCTCGACGCGTGGAAGCCGGAGGAGGTGGAGCTGCTGCGCGCGGTGGGTAACGTGAAAGCGGCAGCGCTGTACGAGGCCAGGGTCCCGCCAGACCTGCCGCGGCCAACGGCGGCCTCTCCCGACCGCGAGGTCGCTGTTTGGATCCGTGACAAGTACGAGCGCCGGCGGTACTGTGCGGCGGCCGCGGCACCGCAGGCCGAAACCACAGAGTATTGTGAGGCCCGCCCCGCCAGACAGGCTGCCCCTGCGACTCCTCCGACCGGAGAGATGGACCTCCTCTCGTTTGCGGATTTTGGCGGTGCGGCGGCCACCCACGCGGCGCCACATGCCAGTGCGCCCGACATCGACCTCCTCTCATTTGCAGACTTTGGCAGCGCCAGCTCACAGGCGAGTCAACAGACTAGCCACGGATGGACTGACCCTGGCTGGCGTGCCTTTTCATGATCTGTTCACTCTGTCGTTATGTAGTTCGGAATACAGCGAGACCTCCTCCTATAAAAGCTGCTCAACACCCCTCGATGCGCGCGTTGATGACCTTCCAACATCAGGCCGATCATCTCTTCTCCGGCTCTGCTGCTCTAGGAGCGCAACCGACAACGCCTGCCCAACCAACTCAGTGCATTCTTGTCGGATCCTCGCACTATCTTTGCGCAGCATGTACTGGCCAGCTGGGACAGTGCCAGTCTGCGCTGCACGCACGTCGGTCTCAGAGCGCCCCATAGCTTTCGCTAATGCAGACATCATCTCATTTATCGGACCTAGCTTGTTGATGCCGGAAGCGTACCTCACACCCTCTTGTATTTCGTCGTGCACCGAAGCAACGTTCCACCCTACAACCTCCCCTCGATTGTTCAGAGCCGGTCCTCCGCTGTGCCCCCCCAGCATGAGGGCGCCAGTGGTCAGGAAGTCTCCTTTGCCACCTTGGCCTCTGATGATCGTTCCTGGGGTGCTTGTCTGATCCTTGCTCTTCTTTTCACCCGTGGACCTGCCATATCCAAGCAACATCACGTCTGACCCAAGCTTGACCTCGGCTGAATCGCCCACCGGGAGGGCACGAGCTTGTATCCAAGCCTCAACCGTCTCTACGGTGTCCGACTTAATCCTGAGGACCGCGTAGTCGCGCGGGCTCCGCTCCGAACCACGACATCCGTCCACCACCTCTGCGCGCACTTGCGAGCTCAAGTCCGCAGGGCTGCCGAATCCAATCATCACTTCGCCTCCGCCGGCTTCATTGACGACGTGAGCACAGGTCGCGACAAGCATCTGCTCCTTGTCGACGATGAAACCGCTTCCGATGATCTCGCTTTTCGAATTCGGGCGCGCAATTGCCACAACGCCTCGCTGCCACGTGGTCAAAGCATCGCCGCCGTATCCAGACACCTCGGAGAGCCCTAACGGAGCAGGAATCACCTCACGAAATGCGCCTTCAGAAGTACCTCCAGCTGCAGGCGACAGGTCAGCAGACCTCGCTGACGTGGCAGCCACAGCCGACGGGTCAGGGCATACCTTGTCGCGTTTGCGACCCCAGATATACCAG